AGTCACATCCTACTCATCATATAGCCATCCAACCACTCATCGAGTCACCAATCCTACTCATAGGGACACCACTGGACATAGAAGTCCAAAAGCACATGCTCACACAATTAAAACTACCGAGCCTAAGCTACGGTCCAAACCGGGCCTCAAGTCCTCCAGACTGGCCCATAACCAAAACACAAAAAATGCATCTCATACCTCATCCATAGAATCACAAAGACGTTAATGTACAGCTAATACCGAGCACTCATATATACATACAAGTGAGAGGAAGGAAATTCAAATAGATACACTTTAAGCTGAATCAATGCCGCCCGATAAGGCAGGAAAGATGGGAAGTTTATCCTAAATGCCATGTAGCCTCTCGAAGATAGGTATCAACGTCATCATACCAATCTACAAGACTTTACTAGACACTTGCTCATGACTCGTAGAACCTATGAACCTAGAGCTCTGATGCCAACTTATCACGACCCAAAAATTTAACTAGTCGTGATGGCACCTAACCCAACCCACCAGGTAAGCCAATTAGCAACAATCCAATTCAAATGTGATTTACTGAGAGAAATAATAATAATATACTGAACTTTTATACAAAGAATTTCCAAGGACTGGTAGTACAAATCATGAGCTTCTAAGATTTAGAGTTTACAAAGCTAGTATAAAATAAATACATCATCTGTCTGAAAAGTACATAAATAGATTTTCATGAGTCTAAAGCTACCATGGACAAAGGGTAGTTATAACCGGAATGCAGGTACATCTTCAATACCAGCTTCCTCCATACATAGCAACATCGGCCCCAAAATCTATATGCAAGGTACAGAAGTGTAGTATAAGTACAACCGCCCATATAGTCATTAAGTAAAAAACCTAACCTTAGGTTGAAAGAAGTGATGAGCTTGGACAACGGTTCCGACACCAATAGCCAACAACTCATAACAATATAATAAAAGTAGTACAAGAAATAACTTAAAGATATGATGCTCAGCTCGTTCACAGTTGCGGGAAATAGGCATAATTTTTAAGTATAACAGTAAAACCTAAATCGTTCACTGAAATCAACAAAATATGAGTAAGACAGAAATTTTTTATTTTTCCCAAATACATTCAACAACAGATAAAATGTTTAAATCTCCGATAGCATGAAGAAGTACATATCTATGCCTACATGTCAATGTGCATGTAAATTCATATATGTCACAAAACCGTGTGGCGTGAGGAAATGTATCTCTATGCATGTATGTCAAGTATGCATGTCAAATGCAATATGTCACAGTGATGAACACATGTACTAACACTCTCAGAGTAATCAATATCATTGTCTCACACTCCCACTCATCATGTTCAATCACTCAGCACACTTAGTCACTTAGCACTATACGGTACCTGCTACGGCGCATAGCCATGCCATCAAGAATCAGTAAATACTGCGCTCATTGCTAGTAAGTTAGACTCCGGAGGGGCAGATCCTGCCCAAGTGCTAATAACACCTACTGCGGCGCGTAGCTCGTTCCCATCGTGAATCAATAATACCCGCTGCAGTCTGCAGCCAGATCTCATCATAAGTCAATAGTACTCGATGCGGCGTGTTGCCCGATCCCATCACGAGTCAATTATCTGCTGCGTCGTGCAGCTCGATCCCATTATACTTCAATAATACCCGCTGCGGCGTGCAGCCCGATCCCATCATGACTCAATAGTACCCGTTTCGGCTTGCAGCCTGATCCCATCAATATCACTCACAAACAGGCCCTCAGCCTCACTCAGTCATCAATCTCTTCAATCTCTCAAGCTCACAAATCTCATGCCAATCAGCCCAAACAATGATAATATGATGTGACAACAAATGATAACCGAGACTGAGATATGATAGGCAAATGAATGAATATGCCTGAGCTTGTAATTGCAATTAAGCAAATAACTCAACAACAACAATGACCTCTGTGGTTCCCAATAGAATAAGTTTATAGCCTAGACATGATTTCTAACATGGATCACGACTCAATTACCTAGCACGTAGGAATTTCATGGATAAAATCAAGATTAGGTAACTACACACTACCGCATAATCAACCAGGTCATAATTCACATGGTGCACGCCCACACGCCCGTCACCTAGCATGTGTGCCACGTCAACACTAACACATAACACGTATATTCAGGGATTCATACCCTCAGCACCAAGTTTAGAAGTGTTACTTTCCTCGAACAAGCCACATCCAATACCGAGCAAGCCAAACGATACTCTAGAAATGCCATCCCGTATGCATCAACCTCTGAACGGATCGAAACTAGCCAAAAGCAACTCAAATACATCAAATAATGCCCAAGGAAACAAACCCAATCGATAAAGGTCGAATCTATAATCAAAGTCCCAAATTCAACCAAAATATCAAACCCGGGCCCGCACCTCGAAACCCGACAAAACTCACAAAATCCGACAACTCATTCAATTATGAGTCCAACCATACTAGTTTCACTCAAATCCGACTCTGAATCGATGCTCAAAACTCAAAAACTTGTTTTATGAAATTGTAGACAAAACCCTAAATTTCACTTTAAAATATAACCAACATCAAGTATATAACACTTACCCCGATTCATATGGTGAAATCTCTCTCAAATGTCGCCCAAAACCGAGTTCCAAATCTCAAAATATGATAGAATAACCAAAATCTCGAATTAATTAGAGTCCACCCCAGCATTCAATGCTGAGAAGTTGAAGCTGAGGAGGACGCGAAGCATCCAACCCAGCATCAACTCCTGAAGTTGAGTCGGAATAGTAAAAGGAAAACTTTGGCCCACGACTTTATTACGCAATATATATATGCCAAAAATACCTCTTTTAAGTTATCGAACACACGGGGAAGCGGAGAAAAGCCATCACAAAGTTTGGAAACCAAATAATTCGTCTTGAGTTCTTACTTTTCCCTTCTTTTATTGATTTTTATGTATTCCTGGGAATTACTTGAGATTGCTACCATGAGCATGCGTGGCTAAACTTGATAGTTCTGGGGTCATGGGTCTTAAGTTAACCTGAATAGGCATTAAATCCATAGACATATAGGCATTAAGTTAACCTGAATAGGCGAGTAAGAACTCGACAGATTCTTACTGGTAACATTAACCCTGTCAATCAACAAACAAGATAAATTAATTAGTCAGTTTAAGCTGAGAACGCAAGATTGTTAGCCAGCCCATGATTCTGGAATATCCTCTCCTATTGATTTTTATCCAAAATCACCTACGTGTTTTAGTCGATCTCTAGTTTATTTAATTTCTTGGTAGTTTCTTTGGTTGTTAAGTAATTACTTACATATTTTGAAATAAATCTCTTGAATAGATAATTTGTTTGAGTTTGAATCGGTCGAAAGTTAATCGTAAGTCTCTGTGGGAATGATACTTTACTCACTACTTTATTACTTGACGACCACGTATACTTGCATGTGTGTTTGGTCGCAACAAGTTTTTGGTGCCGTTGTCGGGTACTTAGAAATTAGCTACTTGTCTGAGTTAAGCTTTATTAGTGATTTGTTCAAGTTTTACTTTTCAGTTTGCCTGTTTGTGTTAACGCAGGCTCTTCTCTTAAATGCAGAGGAGTAGAAGCGTGAACAACCTCCTTCCTCTTGATCCTGAAATAGAACGAACACTTCACAGAGTAAGGAGGGAAGTCAAAGCTAGAACTAGCACAGAAAGAGAGTTGGACATTGTAGTTCAACCACAACCACTAGAGATGACAGATAATGAAGAGCGACCGGTGATAGAAGCCGCAAGGCCCAATCTTGCTAATATGACTCGGGCTATTGTAAAGCTTGATATCAAGGGAAATTTTAAACTCAAACGGTACATGGTCTAGCTGATTCAGTCCACAGGGCAGTATGTGGGTCTATCTCATGAAGATCCGCAATGGCATATTCATAACTTCCTAGAAATTACGGATACCTACAATTATCCGAACATTTCCAAGGATTATGTCAGGCTGACATTGTTCCCCTTTTCATTGTTGGGAGAAGCCAAAGAATGGTTGGAAAAGGAACCCGCGAACTCGACCCACACTTGGGATGATCTAGAAAGAAAATTCTTAATCATGTTTTTCCCACTAAAAAGACAAAGTCGCTAAGGAGCCAGATTCTTGGGTTCCAACAACGGGATGGTGAGACTCTTCATGAAGCTTGGGAAAGATACAAGAAGCTACTCAGGGACTACCCATATCACAGTCAGACTGATGAGGTGTTGGGTCACACTTTTGTTGATAGGCTGGACGAGACATCAAAGATGAATCCTGACTCATCTTGTGGGGGTAGTTCCATGGCAAGGTCGTATAGCAAAATCTAACTCCTGCTAAACAATTTCACTACTAATGTTAATAATTAGCAATGGGAAGGGGGATCACGAAGAGCACTTAAACAGAAGGCAGCATGTGTAATTGAGCTTGATGATTTCTTAGCCATGAGAGAAGATATAGCGAAATTAGCAAATCAGATGAATAGAATGACAATGCACCAAACGCATTAGATGCAACATGTACTACTTGCTGCAAGTTATGTGGTGAAGGTCACCTGAGTGACATATGTCCCACGAATCCTGAATCCATATATTATGTGGGGCAACAAAGCAGAGGACTGATCAATCAACATGCACAATATGGGAAAACTTACAACCTAGATTGGAAGAATCATCCTAACTTCTCCTGGGGTGGAAATCAGGTGACTCAAAATCAATATAGGCCCCAAGGAAATTACAGTCAACCTCATAAGCCACCCCAGCAAGTTAAGGAGAGTACGAATGACCTGTTGAAGAAGTTGTTTCTTGACAATCAACAATTCAGGACCGATTTTAGAAATTTTGAGATACAAGTTGGTAGATAGCGTCAAATCAAAATACTAGGCCTGCAAGTGCTCTTCCCAGTGATACAGAGAAGAACCCTCAAGTTAATACAGTCACACTCAGAAGCAGATTAGAAGAAGAGCCCAAGAAGATAAGAGATAAGCCTATACATGAGGGGGGAGTTGATTGCTAAAGCAACACACGAGTCAAAGAAAGATGATGCAAGTCCAGAGCCAGTGAGTGCTGCAAGGCCACCACCACCTTTCCCCCAAAGATTACAAAAGAAGAATGATGATCACATGTTTAACAATTTTTTCTCTATGTTGAGCCAGGTTCAATTAAATATTCCATTGGTGGATGTACTTCGTGAAATTCCAAAATATGCTATGTACAAAAAAGATAGAGTGGCTCACAAGAGGAGATTGATTGAATTAGAGATAGTTGCACTTACTGAGGAGTGCACTTCGAGGGTCTAAGGCAAGCTTCCTCAAAAGCTTTAGGATCCTGGCATCTTCACCATCCCTATGCAGATTGGTAATATTGATGTGCGCTGTGCTTTTTGTGATTTGGGGGCGAGCGTAAATCTGATGCCCTTATCCTTGTTCAAGCAATTGGGTTTGGGAGCTCCAAGACCAACTACTGTAATGCTGCAACTAGCTGATAGATCCATAGCTTACCCTGAAGGAGTGATTGAAGATGTGTTGCTGCAAATTGGAAAATTCATCTTCCCAGCGGACTTCATTATGCTAGATTATGAGGCTGATGAACAAGTTCCAATCATATTTGGATGACCTCTCTTGGCTACAGGTGATGCAATTATTAAAGTAAGAGAGGGAAAAATGATTATGAGGGTAGACAACGAGGAAGCAATTTTCAATGTCTACAAGGCGATTTGACTTTCCCGCCATTATGAGGATTCTCTATGATATCTGTTGTGGAGGTGGACGAAAAAATGATAGATCAGAGTGTATATCTAGACGATTCTCTAGAGAAAGCATTCATGTTGTTCTATATCTTGGAGATTGATGACGAGGTTGAGGAGATGATGCATATACTGGATGCATCTTGTGTCTACATGCAAGGATTAAAACCCTTTGAGCCCTTAAATAGGCTGAGTGAGCCTCCACCAAAGCCGTCGATTCAAGAGGATCCAAAATTGGAACTAAAACCCTTGCCCCCTCACCTTCAATATGCTTATTTGGGTGGTTCTGACACTCTACCTGCTATTGTTTCCTCCGACTTGTCTAAATTGCAGGAAGAAAAGTTGTTAAGAGTGTTGCGTGAGCACAAGCGAGCCATTGGGTGGACGATGTCTCACATAAGAGGCATTAGTCCAGCCTTCTACATGCATAAAATCTTCTTGAAGGAAGAACACAAGCCAAGTGTAGAGCACCAATGCCGCCTAAATCCAATCATGAAAGAGGTGGTAAGAAAAGAAGTGATTAAGTGGCTTGATGCAGGTATTGTATTTCCAATCTCTTATAGCAAATGGGTAAGCCCCATTCAATGTATACCTAAGAAGGGGGGATGACTGTAGTAGTCAATGAAAATAATGACTTTATTCCCACAAGAACTGTGACTGGGTGGATAATTTGCATAGATTATAGAAAATAAAATAATGCCACCCGCAAGGGCCACTTCCCTCTCCCCTTTATTGACCAAATGCTTGATATACTAGCTGGACAAGAATACTATTATTTCCTAGATGGCTATTCGGGGTATAATCTATAGCCCTTGAGGACCAGGAGAAGACCACATTTACGTGTCCCTATGGTACGTATGCATTCAAGAGAATGCCTTTTGGTCTCTGCAATGCACCTGCGACCTTTCAAAAGTGTATGATGGCTATTTTTACTGACATTGTTGAAAGATTTGTAGAAGTGTTCATGGATGATTTTTCAGTGTTTGGATGTTCTTTTGATAATTTTTTAATGAATCTTGATAAAGTGCTTGCTAGGTGTGAGGATACAAACTTGGTGCTAAAGAGGGAGAAGTGCCATTTCATGGTACGAGAAGGTATAATCTTGGGGAACAAGGTGTCCAAAAATGGTCTGCATGTGGACAAAGCAAAGGTGGAGGAGATTGAAAAATTCCCCCCACCAACATCTGTTAAGGATGTCGCTCCCCGTTTTCTCACGAAAGAGGGTTTCGATGTGTGACAACTCTTTTAAGGAGGTGTTAAAAGAGAAGAGTCACCACCTAACGATTTTTAAGGTGATAGAATAAACAAAGAAAACGTAGAAGTCGAAGAGTCTTATCATAACACCCGAGAGTCGGTACAAATGATTACAAGGTTACAACTACATTAATCTATGTTAGATGACTAAATACGAATAACAAGTAAGAAAAATGGGGGGTCCTAAGTTTTTTAGCCTAAAGGATCACCCTGTGCAACATAAATAATACTTCTTAACTCCCTTAAGGTTAGGAGTTACTCATATTATTCAGCGGGCAAAGACTATCATCTCCCGCTACCCAATTACTATGTTGAAGTCGTTACCTAAAGGCGCTCTAATTCAATTCTAAATTGTACCCTATGCATGCACTACCCGTCCCGTACCTGTGGTCCAGGAGGCTTTGGACCTCTATTTGGATGATTCAAGACTTTACCTAGGTTGCTCAAAATGATAAAACTAATCGCGCATTCAAAATAATTAGGACTTCACGTAATCAACACCAAAGGCTCAAATCCACCTCCTCATATAGACACGAATGAACGCCGTCAATTAGGCAGGCAATTATAGCTATACTTAGATTTTCAGATTATTTAAACGCACAGCTATAGATAAGTAAGTTTGGTATGTTAAATTGTTTTGGACCTATATGCATAGTTTCTATGTGATTTGAACTACTCAGCAATCAATGTAAAATTCCTATAGGAAGGATTTCTAGCTGACTAACTTCAGGTGTCACACAGGCAGTGTCGATGTTCCAAGTTAACTAGTTTGCAGGTTTTAGGTATTACAAACCTATAGACATGATTTCTAATTTGTTTACGTAATGGGTGGTGAAGGCTATAAGAAACTAGGAGTTACCAGCATTTGATTTTATGGGTATGCCTTTCAAGCGGATAACATTAGACGAGATTTCTAATAGGGTATTTAAGTTCACTTTTACCATACTTATTCCTATAGGCATGCTATCTATGTGGAAGTGTAATAAAACGGCGGGAGCAGTTGAGTAAGAGATTAGTGTAATATCTAGATGGACAGTACACAAAAAATAAAATCAATTTTATTAACCACCTGAAGTCCTATAGGCATGAGAGCTAGAAAAAATATATACATCCTATAGGTATGTTGTCTAAACACAAGAATGGCGATTAGTAGCATGTTTAAGATAGTGTGCAAGTATTAGATAAATTAGGTGAAGTGTGTGCGATTCTAAAGAGACATGATTTCTATTAGTTCACAAAATAAGAAATAACACATGTTAAATAAAGCAGCGAATAGAACACACAGACCCTATAGGCATGTTTTCTACCTTTATGCAAGAACAAAGCAAATCCATACCCCAATTTCACTATATCCCAAATTATTCATTATTACATGTTATTACAGCCCAAATGGAATAATGCAAGCTAAATATGACAGAAATACATATTGAAACAAGTGCGTGCCTCCGTCAAACAGTACAGGCCCACTATAAAATAACCTAGTGAATTTCTGGGCCTTCAGCATCCTTACCAACCAAAAGACCCAAATCTCAGGCTCATAAGGACAGTAGAATATTCCTGAATCCAGTGCCCGGGTCCAACAATACATATGGCTCAATACCAGGCCCAACGAATAACTAACTTAGCCAAATGGATGCCAAACTTAACCATGCAGATGACAAACCATTCGCAAGATTAATTTAAACAACTTTTCACACTTAACTCCTAAAGTTGTAACTAACAACAGTTCTAGCCAAAGCACATAGACAAGATCACATGAAATACTGACAAGTCTACAAGGCAGGTTCATGCTTGTATTCTCAGAAACAAAGCTAAATGGTCACTATCCCAAAGAGTTTCAAAAGTAAAATGATTCAAAATTAGCCTAAAGGACTTTAGACACATGAAAATCTAATAGAGTGAAATAGAGCAGAGCATTCACACGAAAGTTTTAACATGAAGGTCTAGTGAAAACACCATAACATCACAGGTTCATGATTGTGCAATTACTTAGCAAAAAAAGTTATCGTGCTGAACATTAATCATAGTACAAGAGATAACATCAAACTTCAACAGTAGGAGAAGCAAGCATCAATTCTAATATTATCTGGCCATGTGTAGTGAAAGAAGGTCAGTTGTAAGACATATTCCCAAGGTCTTGACTGGTACTAAGGAATGCAAGATTGAGCAAGTCAGAAAACACACAATAGAATCACAAATGTATAATAGCAGGTCCTCATAGACAACAGGACTTGGAGAGTAACAAGTTACACATGGACTAAATTATCTCCAAAGCATGAGTTTGGTTGACATAACAATCTAGGACAGGGTAGGAAAGCAAACTCTGAATTGACAACAAACATCAGCATAACATAACAGGCTAAACATGTTTAGTAGAGCCAGAATTCTCAATAGGCAAAGACACGTTGAGAACTAGATTGTCATATAAAGGCTGGATGTTTGCCTTTCACCTTATAGACAATGAGTATATTTAAACAACATAGGATTGAACTGAGCATGGAACACACAGCAAAGCTCACAATTGGCGGACATCACAATTAAGAATTGGTCGCAGTAGAGCATCAGGTACATTAAAACACATATATTGGCTTGTCATAAGGATGCAAAACAAAGCAGGGATAATCTCAAGGAGAGTAGTAGGTAATAAGAATCAAACACACACATTAGGGTGAACATGCTTAAAAGAGTCAAAAATCATTCATACTGAACACATGTAATAGACAGATGTCAGAGCTGGGAATTGTAGGCAAGTTCAAATACGAGAAAAGAGTTAAGAATCACAAAACAGCTTCACAGTCAATAATCTATACAACTCGAGTTCAGAATCATGGAAGATTTCCATGTGATTATCGGATTGGGACTGGATTTGAGTGGGGGCAGCAAGGGTTGGCAGAAGAGAAAAGAAGGTTCGAGAGAGTATAGAGGCAGCTGTAGTGTGGGAATGGGATTAGGGTTTGGGGTGAGCTTGGTTAGTTAAAGAGAGGGAATGTTTATGGGTCGTTCATCATTTGAGATCAACGGCCAAGATTAAAAGAGAGGCGGGGCGGGTAATAAAATGGGTACCGACCGGGTATAAAAAGGGTCGTTTGGTTGGGCAGCTGAAGGAAAAATGAAGTGGGCCAAATGTTTTTTGGGCCCATTTTTGGTCTATAATTCATTTTAAAGCTGGGCCATAATTTAAATACACTAAATTTTATCAAAAATAATTTATGAAAGTAATTAACACGTAATAAAATATTATATATGCAGTAAAGTCTTTAAAAAAAATATCTTAACATTATAAAAATATAAAAATGTTATTTGGCACAAATAATGTGAAACAGTGTAATTATGCATAGCATATAGGCTATTATTGCAAAATTATGTAAATAATTTAAAAATACAAATATACTTATATGAAAAAATAAAGTAAAATATTATGAAACATATATGTGGATGCAAATAATGAATTTGGATGATTGAGTCCTCATAAAATGATTTGAAGGGATAATTAATACATATTTAAATAATTTAAATGCAAGAAAATTAATTTTAAAGATTTAAAAATTATGAAAAATTATAAAAAATTCTTATATGACCCTTGTAAATTGGTGATGATTCGAGAATGATATTTTA